AAGGTAAAATGGTTAGATTTCATTCTTTTAAAAATGATGGCTATATTTCATTTTTTTTTTTTGGTGAAGTGTTATAAAACACCATTATCACTTTATTTAATAGTCAAATAAATTTAAGTCATTAATCTGAACGTATCAGATATAAGCAACCCCTGTATAAATTAGTCATCTCTCGTCTCATCATGTTCACAAATTAAGTCGTCTTCCGCATCAAGTATTTCGTATACACCAAATTATTTATTCAAGATCAGTGATTAAGCTTACATGTGGTATCAGAGCATGTGTTACGAATAAATAATTTGATGTTCTTCGTATGATCGTATCCAATTTTATGGGCAAATCCCTGTACGTAATTGGAGATTGTTGTATCCGTTAATATTGAATCATAATCTATATATATATAATTGCTAGCTAAGCAATAAATTTTACCTAATAAATAAAACCTAATAAATTTTACCTATGTGGCAAATCATTAATAAAACCTAATAAATAGAACCTAATAAATTTTATTTATGTGGCATTAATACACCCAATCTCATTAATAAGAAAATATTTCATTACATTTTTTGGGTTAATTAAGACAAAAACTATTATATTTTATGTTAATTGATTAATAATTATATTTTTTATTAAATAATATAATAGCTAATATTAAAATTAGTAATTATATTTTATACTAATATATGAAAGTTACATAAAATTATATTCTACACTAAAATCAATATTTTTTTATATGATGAAGATGTTGTTTATTAATAAATTAATTTTTTTTATGTCATAGTAAAATTTCTTAAAATCACATAAGCAATTGTTATAATAAATGTAATATTTTTCAGCTAATTAATTGGTCATGATCACTCAAAATTATAAAAAGTATATATTTATTGCATTTTATGCAATCAATATAGTGATTCGTATACAATCAAATCGTGTGTACTATTTATTTTAACCAATGATCAAATTTTAAAATATAATACTATTATATAATTTATAATTTTAATATTATATACATAAATATAACTTATAATACTATATGTTTGAAATATAATACAATTATATAACTTATAATTTTTATATTATATACATAAATATAACTTATAATATTTAATTTTATTTACATCTGTGCAAATGCACAAGGTCGAATACTAGTTATATGTGTATAGCCTGAAGTTTGTGATGCCCTCGTTTTGTTTAAAAATCCGAATGTCTGATAGAGCTTACATGTGGTATCAGAGCATGTGTTACGAATAAATAATTTGATGTTCTTCGTATGATCGTATCCAATTTTATGGGCAAATCCCTGTACGTAATTGGAGATTTTTGTATCCGTTAATATTGAATCATAATTATATGTGTATAGCCTGAAGTTTGTGATGCCCTCGTTTTGTTTAAAAATCCGAATGTCTGATAGATTGTCTGTTGTCATCATAATTATATTCAATGTATAATGGCTTTTCACGTTTCTGCAATATGAACTATGCATCTGATGACCTATGCATATGGTCAATTGGAAAAACATTGTGCTATTGGAATAATTATTATGTCTTTATTCATTCTATTTGGTGATGACTTCGACTGTTTAATGGGTACAATACCCTATTATTTCGGTGAGCCATGAGTTGCAATTGAGTTATTTCATGTATATGGTGTAATGTTTGTGAATTCAACTGTTTGAGATGCATAATATCATATTTGAGAATATTGATGTGTATGAATGATTATTATATGACACTAGTATGAATCTCGTGCCATGCACGGATAATAGATATTCATTTTTTTTTTTTTTTCAAACGACATAAAATTCTCATTAAAAACGCCAACCGGCAATGTACAAGAGCAAAGCCCGAATCCTGAGTAACTGAGAGGTTACAATATCACCAATGCAACCTAGACAGGAATACTGCTCGCAACGCGAGAAAACCAGCCACAACAAAACACTAACAAATACTACTACAAAACGACTAATAAAAATAGAGAACCCTCCCAACAGGAGAATACCCACAAAACGACTAATAAAAATAGAGAAACCTCCCAACAGGAGAATACTCGAGTGCGCTCCCAACAGGAGAATTAAGTTGCACTCGAGCCCACTGGAGCAATTCTAGCACACAACAACAAAAAGAAAAACAAACACAAACAACAACACCAACAAACCAACCAGTAGTGATCGATCGACACAAGAAAGATCCCGAGTCCAAGTCCCGCTACTGAAACTGCACAAACGCCTAGCAGTAGGTGAACCCAAATCCCAGAAGAATCCCCGAATCGACCCGCTGTTAACCGAAAGGAAACCACAGCCAAGCCAACCCTCACACACGATCCCCCTGAGCACATCTAACACCACTAGTTGCACTCAAATGGACCGGACCCCCGCCGCCTAACACCACTAGCCGAACGGAGGATGGTGATGGTGTCGTGGCCCCTCAACCCTGACGCCGGCGAGACCACCTCCCGCCCAACGCCAGAGTCCCACCCCCCTTGCTGACCCATATCCAGTCAACCTCACCGCAATCCACCGACACCAAGCCGAGAAGCCCCAAAACGGAGCCCCACCGGAAAAGCCCCAAAAGGAGCCCCACCAGAAAAACGCACCGCCCGAGGGGAGCCCCAAAAATCACGACCAAACGCAGCAGGAGAGAAAAACTTACCTCCAATCGAGACCAGCTGACCATCAACGCCACCAATTGCAGCCCAATCGCCGACCGAGAGGCTCGCCCCATCTCACCGCGAAATCGCCGTTGACCTAGGGCACGACATCCCTGCTGGCATCGGAGCACTACGGCAACATCAGGGTTCAGCTGAGGGGCCGGCGGTCAAAGGCGACCACCAGCCGAAGCCGCGCCGCCGCCAAGGAAGGCTTCGCTGGATTAAGAGGCTCGGCTTTGTCGCGAAAGTTTGTATCGCCAGAGAAGAGAGAGAGATGAGTTTTATAGATATTCATTAATATTTAAAAATTAAAAATATTTATTAAATAATATTTATAAATTAGAAATATGGAATGAATTTGTAATACAATTTTTAAAAATGTTTATTAAATAATATTTATAAATTAGAAATATGGAATGAATTTGTAATACAATTTACCTATATTAATTTATTAAAAATGTTATATTAAATTTAAATTTACCTATATTAATTTATTAAAAATGTTATATTAAATTTAAATTGTGCATAATAACATAAAATATGTATATTTAAAATTAGTACGCAACCCGTACGATGCAAGTACTTGATAATAAATTACATTATATTCATTTCAAAATAAGTGTCATTTCAAATTTTTTATTTCATAAATTCGTTTTGACTATTGATTCCATAAAATAAATATTTTGATAAAATTTTACCATATTTTTAAAAATATATATGAATAATAAGTATAATAATAAAACTCATATTGTTTTATTAATTAAAATGAATTTATTTTTGTACAAACTATCCAAGTAAAAAAAAATAAGTAGTTGAGTAATTTATTAAACTATAAATAATTGACTTTTCTATTTACGTCCAAGTTATTATTTACCCGTAAGTTGCGAATTACTTATTTGACTTTTAAATTTGGAACCTAAATTTGGATTACAAAATAAATTGCTTTATGTATATATATTATCTCGCGACTTTTGAGATTTGTTATCAGTTACCTTATTTTTCAAAATTTTCAACTAATTCTCTAGAATTGAATTACAAATATTAACCATTATTTGTTCAAATATCTTTTTGATTTTCAAGAGGAATACATATCAATTTGCCAAATTATTATCAATATCATATGACAAGTTATTATGGAAATATGATAAAATTTGAGAAGCATATCACTTGATTTTATAACAAACCAATCTAAAATTTTACTTAATACACATACCAAATAAAATTCATACCACTTATTTTGTTTTAAAATTTTTCAAATATACTTCTGTCCATACCAAATAAAATTTATACCTCTAAATTTGGAATTTTCATACCAAAATAAAATCGTCTATTTTATAGCATAAATTCGAACATTTATTAATAACAACACATTTCCTATCAAACATAAAAGTGGTCATCATATACCTTAAATAAAATAGCAAACTTTATACCAAAACCGAATTTATTAATTTTGCCACCTTTATACCATAAATTGATTAATTAATTTCTAGAGGCAGTATTTTTTTGAATATTTTTAAAAAAGATTACCAAGTTTAGTAATTACCAAACCTATATATATATATATATATATATATAACAAAAACAATTTGAAGTAATTAAAAATATGTAGCTGAGGTTTTGTCATTATACCCCTTAAGTTGCTTATGGAGTTGGTAAAGACTTGGTTTTGTGTAAGAATCCGCATTAACGGTCTTGGTTCGAATACGATAAAATGTGTAAACCCGCACTGACGACCTTGATTTACACATTAATAAGTGAAAAACCCGCACTATCGGCCTTGATTTTCACTAAGAAATGACTCGGAGACGAGCTTCTTTCTTAATTTTTATTACTTTAAACTTCATTCCTTTTACAATCATGAGTGATCAATGCTATAGAACCCACTTGGATGACAACTTGGGTTACAATACAAGTGTAAATACATTATTTTTTAATTTTTTTGATAATACATTACACTTAAGTTGTAACTTAAATTGTCATCAATGTGGGCTAAATAACATTACTCATCGTGAGTACATGCATTTTTATAGCCTAAATCTAAACATTCAAATATTCAAATTGTAACTAACATATAACTAACCATTCAAACATTTAAATTATAAACTAACATACTAAATTACTAATCCTATCTAAATACTTAACATAGATAACTAAAATTAACTACTCCCGCCATCATTCAAATTGTAACTAACATATAACTAACCATCCAAACATTTTAAATTATAAACTAACATACTAAATTACTAATCCTATCTAAATACTTAACATACATAACTAAAATTAACTACTCCCAATTTTAAACTTACATACTAAATTACTAATCCTATCTAAATACTTAACATACATAACTAAAATTAACTACTCCCGCCATCATCCACGTGATCCGATTTCCACTCGAAAGTCCAGTTCTCATCAACCCTACCCAACATTCTGTTGACAGGGATAATGCAATTGTTTCTCTGCTTTATACCAAATTGATGTGCAGATGATAAAGTGCTGAAATTATCAACATTGTGAGCAGAATTTTGGTAATCAAATTTATTTAATTTCATCACTGTGCATTTCCAGGGAAGGGTGAACACAGCATCTTACATCATTTTTTAATAAACTATTTGTATCTTAAATCTACATAAGTTGCTACACAGCCCTACCAGTAGAGCTTGGAGCTAAAAATAACAATAAAAATTAATAGTGTGTATTAATTTCCCCCTATTCCAGTACTTGAGATGGCCATAGCCTTTTCCATGCACAGATCTCTTCATCACCACAAATTTTCCGAAGTCCTCCGTAAAATCCATCTGTTTCAGTACCCTCCTCCCTGTGATCTGTCCTATTGACAGCTGTCGTTCTCCAACGGGACCCACGGCTGTACTGCTTGAACTCTACAATCAATGTGTCTGCACACAACAAGTTCCCAATGTTACAACAATCTTTTCTTGGATCGAAAATAAACAGGAGAATATACTAATACAGTATCATGCAAAATGAAGCTTAAAATAAGTAAATTCATCTAGAGAGCGTTGATAAGCAAAATTAAATGAGAGAGAAAGAGAGAGATGATTCTCAGCTCGACTTCTGGCTAAATGCTCGAATTCGCTTTCTTTTTTTGTTATCTTGGATGTTTGCAGAACTCTACAAGACTGAAATCTTATGGCTGGACAAAGTAAATGTGATATGATATGAAAAACAAACCAACTTTTGACTAATTTAGGTAGTGTTTACTTTTTACAAATGAAGTAGACAACACAAGTCAATAAAGCCAGTTAATATAGTCAAATCCTCAATACAGAGTAAAAACATGAGAAAAAATGCATGCCAACTACCAAGGTATACTATGATGATCAAATACCAACACGGGTGCAAAGGAAATATTGGAAACAATGTCATGCTTCGACATATTAACAAGTCCAAAACAATAAAAATTTACTTTCATTGAACTATACAGATATGTTATCACATAAATCACGTCTGTGCTTAATGAAGACAATGTGAGTTGTTTTAGATGGAGTATATTTAATAGTAAATAAGGACTTCTGCTAAACAGACAATAGAGAGAATAAATTAGAATAAATTTAGGAACGGAAAAACACATCAAGAGAAGATAACATAGGTTTGTTAAGTGGAATAAAGTGGGATAACTACAAACAACTACTTATGGGGTTTAGTCTAATTATGAAACCAAGTTATCTTTCAAAATTGCAAAGAACCCCCGACCTTTTTTTACTCAGGAGAGGATCCTGAACAGGAATTGAAAAGTGGCTGTTCAATGTTCGTAAGGTAAATACAAACCTCCTGGAGTTATTTAGGATTTTGAAAAAAGACAGAAACAAGAATGGCAGAGGATTTAAACAGCAAGAAAGCATGAAAGTGCAACCAACATAATAAGCACTTGAACAAACTAATACAAAAGGAATGCATATATAAATAATAGAAGTAGTAGGATTATTCATCTTCAGAGCAAAACACCAAGGAGAAAAAAGTACATCCCCTTCTATTCTGCTGGCTGATTTGGAAAAAAAAATTCTGCTGGGNAGGTCCATTAAAAGTAGCACTTATGACTTGCATGAGAAGAGAACATGACAAAATTTGAGGATGACTTTTTCTTTAATGACTAAATTATATGCACAAGGGGCAAGACCCACATGCAGGGAAAGTGGGGGTCAAGAAAAGGCCCACCAAGTATGGAAAATATGTTGTTATGATGAAATGTATTACCATCTTTTTTATTTTTTATGCAATTGCATCAGACATAAGTGGCTGAGGTCCCCCATACTAAGAGTAACTTCTAGACCCATGTCTAGTTTTCAGTGGATCTTTATTTATCTATAAACTTTTTAATCACAAATTTGTGCATTAAATTTTATAAAGTAGCAAATTTTAGAAGAGCATTTGTGGAAGACATTCCTGCAACTTACCACTTTCGAGACATCGGCAGTAATTGGTGTTCCCATCACATGTATCAAGGTGACCTACCACACCATACCACCAACCTGTGTATATTGGTGATAAATGTTAATAAACTTTGCTGCACATAGTCATAAGATTTGGCCAAAATGAGAGAGAGAGAGAGAGAGAGAGTTCAATGGAGTTTCTTAAAGCAATGTAATCTTCCACTTTTTTCCAACTCAATTTTAAAATAAAAACCATCCAATCATTAACCATTAATATAGACATTTTCTTACAAATTTCACTATTCGACAGCTTGAATAACTCTATCTACCAATAATATTAACCCATTATTTTACTATTTTAATACCAAATCAACTTGAATCATCATTCTTGATCACATTCTCAAATTCTCTCTCACCAAAAAAAAAAGTTAAAGAAGAAATCTAAATGAAAGTGCATCCACTTACGCCGGTGGCCTTCCATTTAGAGAAAACAGTTTAATACAACATTATTAAAGAAGTTTCAACCTTCACGAAGAAAATAAAGAAACCTGGTAAGAAGTCAATAAAGGCTAGTTTAAAAAAACTATTAAAAAAAAAACCAAGATGGTCACTTCAATACAGTAAAATATGTTCCCCTTTTCAGTTCTTGATTCTAAATCAAGACTCATGAGACGTGCAAGTAATCTACCATACTTTCTTTTCCTATCACCTACATCCCAATCAACTGAAGCCACCTCTTATCAAGCAAATTGCAGAAAAATATATGAAGTAACTAATTATTTGTTTTAAAAAGAAAAAAAAAAAAAAAAGTAACAATAACTA